CTAAAGATGCAGAGAAAATGTTCTTTTAATGTACCAGACAGATATAGAGGCAGAATGGAGTACGTGGGTAGCACATTTAAGGGCATATTATCCTCTTTCACACTCACTTCTATGCCAGGTGCCTACAGCTTCAGAATGGGCAGCAGAATATGAACCCTAGGATTTCATAAAGTCTCTGAGAGCCCATAATGTGAACAGCAACCAGCAAACAAGTCAAGTGGTGAAACCATTCCCCGTTTATGGCTCCTTGAAGTTCAGCAGGCAGCAGACTGCACTTAAGCATAGCAATCAACTACGACAGGAGAATCCCTATTACAGTAAGCAAAGAGACAGCTCCAAGGCAGCAGACCACAGCATCAGGGGGAAGGACAGAACAGGGGCAGAGAAATCCTGGGGAAAGCCTGGAATGGACTTGGTTGATTTTTAACTATTCTGGATAATTAAGAATGACAAAACCTAATTGTTCCCATTGCTTAGATGTACAATGCCTGGTGTATAAACGGCCCTAAAGATACCACTACCTGCCTCAGGTACCCTTTATTAAAAGGGCCCTGTAAACAGTGGGGAGAGCTTAATTTGAAAGTATCTGTTTTTTTTTTTTTCCTTCTCTGCATTTACATTAAGGAATATAAAGAATTCCTGAAACTTCCAATGTGATACAGTTTGCTAACCAAAGAGGGTTTCTCAAGTGTGGCAGCCAGGTGGCGGTGTATCTGGCGTATCTGCCAGAACAATTCTAATTTAAAGTTTCAAATGTGTCAATCATTAATTTCATCTGACTATTCATGACTATTCATGCATCAGCATAATCCATTACTAAGTCTGAAATCTGGCTGTCCTGAGACTGGACAAAATTTCTCTCATTTACAGTTATGTTATAATATGGTGTTGTACATATGATTATGTATATGGTCTATATAAAATCAGTACTTGTAGAAATGCTTAGGTCTTCACAAGCCTATTTTTTAAAATAGCTATTATTACAAGTCAACAAATCCCACCCAACTTGGAGGTGATGTTCCTGAATATGCTCCTCCCAATGAATCTAGCTGTTGTGCAAACAGTTCATTAACTCCAATGGATAAAGAGGCTTGGGCTAAACTATTATTTCTTTACGCAGACCAGAAGGCAGTGACATAGCCTCAGTCTACACCACTAAGCTGGCAGGCGACACAAGCACAATTCCAACAAGCATTCAGGGTGGGAAGAGAGTCTGGAATTACAGATGATTACAAAACGAATCCCTCATAAAATATGCCCAGCCATGTATTCCTCCAGACAGTGGTTAAGCAATCACAATCACATCTGGAAAGCATCTTTAATTTATATCCCCAAATAACAACAGCAGCAAGAGAAGGCCCTCATGACACCACCAACCTGCCTCAGGTACCCCTTATTAAAAGGGTTCTGTCAACAGTGGGGAGGGCTTAATTTGAAAGTATCTATTTTTTTTTCCTTCTCTGCATTTACATTAAGGAATATAAATGGTCAGAAGAAGTTTGTTATATTTGTCTACAACCCTCTCCATGTAGGGAATTTCTGATTTATGAGTTTAGAGATGATTATGTGGTTTCTGATTGCATATTCTTTTTCTTTTATTGTCCAAAGTTTGGACCATTGCTGTTCATCATACCCTAATCAGATGTCAAGAGGGAGAAAGGCATCATGGATGGAAATTTGATGGTGATATAAAGGGAACCGCTCACTCACTCAAACACCTTTATGTATTTTTATCGTAAGTGACCCTATTACTCATTAATACAGATAATCACAAATGTTCAGGTTTGCTGTGTGTCTTCAAGCCATCAGGCCTAGCACACAGCTGAAATTTCATAAACCAGAACCTAGACTTGCTTTCTTCAATCACTCATCCCGGCATCTGAAGAATACCATCTCCCACATGCCCCTAACTGTTCAGTATCTGACTTTTTATTCAGTTCCTTCTCCATTGCCTCATATTATCTCTGAAGCTGAAATTGGAAGCCGTTAAGTGCTATATTAAAGGCTCCCCTATTTATTATGCTATCAAATACACCAAGAAACCCTTCGTACAACCAAACTCAGGCATCTGTATCTTATTGCTCTATGGAAAAAAAAATAGAAAGTACATACAGTGGTTGACTTAAGAGCATTGGGCAATAGAAAAGTTCTTATTTCAAGTGATCCTTCAGACATAAACCCAATATTCTTACTTCATGTATTACAAAATTCATAAACTGTTTAACTTTTCAGACTTAAGTGACATAGTGGAAGTAGTAATATTCTTCAGAATTATCCTAATTTTCATCATCTTGAACCAATGTCTATTGTGTCCATCAATGTCTCCTATGAAGAGCCCTATCTGATACATTCTATTATGAACTTATTTCCATAGATAGTGTTCCTCTATTAGGAAACAGTAGCCTTTGACTATGATATAACAATTACAGGCCTCTCGTGTTTTCCTTTGCAACATGTTAGCCACTCATTCTCAGAAAACTTGTTGGGCTATGTGACTATGCCTACTTGACATTCTCCTTTTGTGATCTTTATTTTCTGCTTTTATTTTTCCAGCATTACTGTAAATCTACCTTTTATTGTAAGCCATGCCACATTCTTTGAGATAGGAGATTATGAACAATCTTAAAAGGAAACCTCAGCTCATGAACAAATTATGTCCGCATCCCAAATAATAACCCCATACCAAATGAACTGATCAACCCAGAGTAAAAGTGATAAAATTATGAATATAAAAATTTTAATTCAATGTAATAGTTTGGATCATATAAATTATATGAACATTTAAATGCTAAACATGTCTGAGGGCATATTCTGTAATACTGAAAATTTTATAAAGACTTAAATTAACAGGATTATTTAAATAAGCATTAGTAGAAATATCTTCAAAACCAAAATTTAAACTATGAAAGGCTATCAGATGTGGTTCATTAGATCTCCCCAAATTATACTGTAATTATCTTATCTCTTATTTATGCTTATCCCCCTCCATCTTTCACTGATTTATATTAGTTGTCTAGCTGTAATTGGACTTGAACTTTTCAGTTTCAATGAAGGTTTACATAAGAAAACTGATTATACTGGGGAAAAAAATCCTCACAAAAGCAGTATGTAGAATCAACCACTATTTATCATACATATAATTATCTTTTCTTTCAGCTTAGGATACAATTTTGCTCTTCTATAATTCAAATCTGTATAGGATTGTCATTTGATGTACAGCAGATGACCCGGCATCATATGAAAATAATTCACTGTGCCATGTGTCTCACATCATGGAAATCAATAGCTTGAATATAGAGACATCTCGATTAGACACTGAAAAAAAGCAAGATCTGCCTCCTCCTTTCCTGTATCATTAAAATGGCAAGTATTAAAAAAAATGATACTTCTTTTAAAGTTGGTTTGGGGGGAATCTATTATTATTTCCAGTTGGGACACTGATGAGCATTTCCATCAAATGGAAGAAAAATTGAGGATATAAAGTAGTGTCAGTAACAGCCTGAGAGGGATGGAGTGTAGATTTGTTACAGTATCGATTGGTGCATTTCTACAGCACCTGTGTAGTATCATGATCTTGTATAGCTTAACAGGGCGTTCACTTATGATCCTGAACACAGAGAAGTCATCCACTCTTCCTGCTTTGTTCCTTAAGAAGCCCCTAAACCAGAGTCACAGCAATCATCATATTAGACACAGTGAGGTAAATAACCTGAAGGCTGAAATTTGATCTCTCTGCAACATGTGAAAAACTTAAACTACCATTATATAACTTCATAACAAGTAAATCTATAGCATCAAACACTAATCTATAATCAAACAAATCCCAGTGACAAGTTAAAGGCAAGATTCCTAACAGTTCACTGGCAAAGCCTTGTAAAGCAACTGTCCAAACATGATACTGCTTGGGATAAGTTCATGTTGGAGAAGTGAAACAAATTATTTTCCTGATTTTATAAATGGTGAAAAATAGAAATGAAAGCATATTGTCCCTCACCGGGGCCCTGTATCTGGTCTAAGGAATATAAATGTACAAGTTTTATTTTTTTCCCCATGTAACTGAATAGATTTTAACATAATGGGTTGAACTGTCACCTGGCCCCATATTAACTATAATTGCAGTTGAAAGATTCTAACTATGCCAGAATCAAATCTAAAAACAGCTCCTTTTTCAGAATCCTCCCTTCAAATTTTAGTTATATCTTTTTTTTTTTTTTTTTTTTAAGTTTTGATTCCAGAAATTTAAACCAGAGGCGCTCAACCACTGAGCTACATTCCCAGCCCTTTTTAATATTTTATTTAGAGACAGGGTCTCACAGAGTTGCTTAGGGCCTCACAATGTGGCTGAGGCTGGATCTGAACTTTCGATCCTTGTGTGCCACCGCTCTCAGCTAGTTACATCTTTTTAAAAGAAAGGAATATATTGTTTTCAAAAAAAAAAAAAAAAAAAAAAGGAATGCACTGTTTTATTTTGCTTTGTTTTCTTTAGCACACATAAATAAGTTTTTTTTCTTTTTTAAAACTTTTTGTTTTAGTTTTAGATGGATATAATATCTTTACTTTCTTTTATTTATTTTTATGTGGTGCTGAGGATCAAACCCAGTGCCTCACACATACTAGGAAAGCGCTCCACCACTGAGCTATGACAGCCCTAAATGATTTTTTTCCTGAATGATTAGATCCACACTCACCTACTAGGACTGGGATGACAAGCACAATCTCATTTCTCTGACTGATCTGACACTGGACATGGTTATAGGTCCCAAAGACAACGCATACTCACAAAAGACCTTTTGAGAAGCCACTGGGGCAAAAAGCAGGCCACCAGTGTCAATATAGCCAGGACTACTTCAAGGGTAAGTGAAAAGTTTCAGAAAATTAGCCCAGATGTCATAGGATGGCTTAGTCAAAATAGAAAATTTAAATTGTTAGAAAATCAGCTTGAGCAATGAAAACCTAACCCAACGGTGCACGAAGGGACACCTCTCAGTCAAGAACAGTACCTGGAGAACTGCCGCTGCAGACCGCGCATCTGAACTCTGTTGCGCTCTGACTCAAGGGTCACCTCCCGCAACCGCTTCTCACTTTGAAGACGCAAGTGTCTCTCCTCTTCCAGTTCATGTATCAGCTTCTCATGCTATGAAAGACACAGGGAAGAACTTTCAAAAATGTATTTAGGACAAAAAAATAACTAGTAATAGCTGTTGGTCCCTAAGTGCTAGCGTGAGCGTCATATGTGTTCATTTCATCCCAGTGACAACCCCATGAAATAGATTCTGTTATTTATCTATTGTTAGAGACCAGGGAACTAAGGATCAGTGAGATGTAAATGATGTATCCAACTTCAGAGACCAAAAGGTAACAGATTTTGAGTAGTGGATGATTTAATTCCAAAATTTTATGATTTCCCCTAAACCAAGTTGCTTTCGATGAAGAATGATGACCCTAATATACTATCGAAAGCAAAATAATTCAGATAATAATTAATAGGAGCATTATACCTATTCAAAATTATTTCATGTTCTCAATCTCTGCCATATTCTTTATATTACTGTTTTCATAAAAGGACAAAAACCTTCAAGTTTACAAGACAATGAATGAGTTTTAATTTTGCCATATGAGGTTTTCAGAGATAAAAATAAGCCAAATCACCCACTGTTTTTATAATTCTAGATAAATAGATCATTTTACCAATGGAGACTATGGATCAAAAGACAGACTGACTCAGAGTAGTTGGTTCTGCAAGGGCTTAGATCCTCCTTATAAAATTGATTTAGCTATTCTCTTTTTGTTTTGTATGAATTCTGTTATTCTTGTTGCCATTTTTAAGCATGCCGTACTTACTGCTGCTACTAAATTGAGCACTTTCTATAAGAATATGTAATTCTATGATAAAACCAAAGATGCATAGTTTTATTATGAGGAACATAAATTACTAACAGGAAAGAAGAGAAGAAGAGACTTCTATGTTGCCATAAATCAAATTCTATTACTCTGTCGCATGGATTACTCAGGGTTAAATGTGATCCATCACATGGGGCGTACTCATAGAAAGTGACACAAAAGATGAATTTTCTTTAGTTCTAACTTATGAGGGGGAATTTGTCCTGAAGAAAATATCAGAGTCTCATCTAGAAATAAATCATTATCCTCTAAAAATGCCTACACATCCCCCTTCCTCTGCACCTTTGATCATGTCCTCGCTTCTGCTTCAAATACTCTCTAAGGTCTCCATTGGAAGCCAAGGGCCTTTCTAAGGCTCAGCTATAGCCACACCTTCTGGAATTCTTCCTCACCAGACCATCATTCTCTCCCTTCCTTGGATTCCAATAGTGCCTACTATACTTAACACCTTTAATGTTATGCTGTTGTTATTTTCCATATACATTTGTCATAATTTTTCAGCTGGATAAACATCTGTTGGACATGATGAGTAGATTGTAAGAGCAAATGCAATTTTTACATTTAGCACATGACCTAATAGTATTACTGGAAACATTCACTTATCAATTGTGAAGCAATCTTTTTTGTTAAGTCCTTAATCAATTTTTAACTCCCAAATCAGTTACTTTTATCAACATCAGAAAAAAATCAAAATTTTATACTGACACTTTAGAATGTGATATTCTGAAAGCTTTGGAAAGGAAAAAAATTGTTGGTCTTAGCAAAGAATTAGGCTAACTTGGTACAAATGGCTAAAATGGGAATTTTACATTATATACATTTTTTACCAATAAAAATACTCAGTTACTACACACAATCAACATTCTTTTCTTTGTGGACTCACTTGAGTCAGATCTGCTGTTATACTTCTCTTAAAAGTACAAATTTGTTCCAGTGCAATTGATAAATCAGGGAACAACTTGAGCATGACACAAATCTCACATTTGCTTCTGCCCAACTTCATTCATGAGAAAAATATTGTACCCTGCTGACCCAAGTTGCATAGAAACACACAAAATACACACATTTCAAACAGACCTCAGTCCACTGTGCACATCATGAGCCACAATCATTCTGCGCTCACTTTATGATAACTTAGCAGCTGCATGGCTTTTGACGCCCACACCCACAAGTCAACTGTAGGTCTTTTTCAAGGTAAAATGTCAAATTCATTGCAGTTTTTATGTATTTCTTAACCATTTAACGCATGGAAAACTCCACTACCATTTTTATTAGTTTCTTTTTTTTTTAAGGTGTCACTGACAAAATTTTTAGTATCGCATTCCTAGTCACATTCCCTGCCTTATGGTTTCTATTGTGTGGTTTTGCAGAGCGCAGTGATTTTTAGAAATGTATATGCCTTGTTATAGCTGGGCAGACTGTACATCATGATAGAGAAAAAAGGAATCAGAATTAAGAGCAGAATTCCAAAGCACTTTCCCTATCCAAGGACAAGCAAAGAGTTGAATGAATCACAAAGAATCAAACATAAAAACCAAAGGATATCTTAAGTCCAAGTCTTTGTTCTACAAATCATATCTTAAGTCCAAGTCTTTGTTTATAAATCATAGCCCTCACTTAGCAACAGAACTTGCATTAACTCATGCTAATTAAGCTATCCTCTAATTAAACCTCAAAGGGAGGAGATTCTAGCTTCTAACTCATTTTATTAAAAAAAAAAAACAACTGTTCTACTAATGTTTTAACAGTTGCCTAAATCATTCAAGTATCAGAAGTCATTTCTATATGCACATTCCCAGGAAGGAGAAAATTCTGATAATTCCCTCATTTAATAAAGGGGAAAAGAACTATGTACCACCAAATGGATTCATTCATTCTCTTAGAACTTATGTGTTCCCTGAGCTGCTACTATGTGCCAAACACTTGACCAGCTCTGGAGGGTAGCAATGAACCAAAGAGGCATGATTCTGACTCCAATAGACTAACAGAGCAGTGGCAGGTGCCAAAGAAACTACCACAAAGGAAAACATGTCATTTTCAACTAATGAGTAATTAAAGGTTTGTCGAAGCAAGAGGAATTGATGTGGTGCGGTGGATTAGAGGAAGGCTTCTTTGAGTGAGTAGCATTGACACCAAAACCTCTGTGATCACTCAGTGCTTAATGGTGAAGATAAAGGATCAGCATGCCAGGCAGAGTGGGCAGCAAGGGCAGAGTCCTTGGTCACACATAGCAAGAACAAAGAGAAGCCCCATGTAGCTGAAGCCTGGTGAGCAAGGAACAGCCACAGCATGCGATAAAGGTGGAAACAGTAGAGGCTGGACACTGGTGGACCACCACCATCCTATGAAGGATTTGAGACTGGATCCTGAAAAAAAAAAAACAATGGTCACTTGGTACCAAGGCTTAATCATGTGAGTGATAGGATCTGATTAAGATTTTTGCAAATTTCATTCTGGCTATTGTGTGAAGAAAAAACAGAATCTAGCGGCTAACTACAGAATGAGGAAATATTTAAATAGAAACTGGTGAACCCTACCAGCTTCTAAAACACAGTGGTTTTAGACAGGCCATGTAACACTTCACTCTTTTAAGCCAATTCCTTTCTATACATTGAGAAGAGTGAAATGGCCCAAGCTGCATTCATAGTGATACTGTGAGGAAATAGCAAAATAATATGTATTTTAAAAGCTTGAAAGTCCTAAAATAAATTAATATGGATGTTTCCTATTAATGTAAAATTAGTATTTTGATTTTAATTAATATAATTAGCTTTCTATATTTCATACTAAATGTATAATTATGATATATTTTAATTCTTATATGAATGCAATACTTTGGGAATCAATACTTTTAATTATACTTTAAAACAGATAAAGAACATTTGTCTGGCTCACCCTTGGCAGAGAATTCATGACTGTGTTTCAAAACATGATAGATCAGAAATAAAAATGCATTGCACCCTTATATTGAATTGGCTATAATAAAAATTTTAAGATTAAAAATTGAAAGTTTAGGTGCAAAATAAAATTTGCACAAAAAATAAATGTAATGATATAGTTTATATTGCCTAATGTAGTTCAGCTAATTTTGATAAATTCTCTAGGAACTTTAGTCTTTAATGATCATTACATATTAGAGAAATATTCTAGTAATACATCTTTTAAAAAATTAAAAATGTATTTCAATTCATATCATACATTAAAATGTCTTTCCCACAATATTAATGTAAATTTTAATATGAGAATAAAGAAGCTAATTATTATGGATCCCATCTACAATGTATACAACTCTTTATTTGGCCTTTCTTAAAAGATATTTTTTAACCCCATTATGAAGTATAATTTCAAACAGATGGTCTGATGTATGGTGTGCCAAACCCTCAGGGAGAAATTAAAATATGAACACTTGATTTCAAATATAAAAAGTCAATCTGTACCTCTATCCTAAGTCTAATTATATTTGGTGACTCTCATTACATCAGTGGGTGGTGATATTGGCAAAGTGAAAAAAAAAGATTGAAAGGCAGGAATTTTCTTTACTTGGTGTGCAAATTCTAGCTCCACCATCCATGGCCACCTTGTTAAGTAAAATTTCCACCATTACAGGACAGGCCCCACCCACATCTGCCCAAGGCACACCTCTGTGAGTCCTGCTTAGTGAATACAAGGAAGCAGTAGTTTTCTCCATGTGTTCTGCAGTGACCTGATGCTTGAGAGATGTGTGATGACATACAGAATAGTTTTCACAATGTTTCTTTTTTTAAAAAATTCTTGAAATGTGTTCAAGTTGCAAAACTCCTAATCATAATACTTGTGATGAATAATACGTAGATCAAAGAATCATAGGAGAAACAGTAATAACCCTGGGTAGGCCGATCTAAGGTGGCTGGCCAGAAGGAGGCAGCATTCTGTGTCGCTCCATGACTTGGGACTCAACAAGTGAGAATACTGCTTCTCTTCGAGGGATATTCCTGCTTCCGCACAGGAATCACAGCCACCATGACCATGCAGGATTCCAGGACTGGGCATCAGAGTAGGTTTCCCAATTATTTGCCCACGTAGGACTACCTGGTACCTGAGCGGGACCACCAGCATCAGCACTCCCACAGAACATTCGGCCACCCATCTGAGTAGAAATCCAGGATGCAGCTCCCACACAGGACACCTGGAGGCTACCCACGCACAGGATCCCCAGCCGCCACTCCTGTGTGGACCCCCATCAACCAACCTGGG